CAACAGAGACAGGAAAGCTGATAGCATGCAGTGAATACAGTTGTTATGCCTCTTAGAAACTAGAAAATCCCAAATTGGACCTTGCCACCAACTTGTGGGAGCATTACAAACAACTTGCGCCAAAAATGTGGTGGTCAGCCCAGCTCTCTTTGGGCCCAGTTGAGCTTGATATGTGCAGTTCAGAATATGTGAACAATAAATAAAAGTTCATGATTGATACTGTGGTAAAAACAGTGGTAGCTCTCACAGTATATATCAGGCACTTCAAACAAAAACCACCACTCAGGTCATTCAACACAAGCTTCATTCTGCTGAATGAAGATAAACTAGAAATAAATGAAAAGATCATATTCTATGTCTGTGAGGTTTCATTTACAGAACATAAGTAGTATTTGCTGGCTTTGGTTCTGACATCAGCATCCTTGGAATGAACATAATGCAGAGCTCATTGATCAGTTTCACTTGTGCAACCAGTGAACTGTTGTTCCATAGTAGAGTTGTCTAGTGTCATCAAGAATGACCCCAGAAACAGTGGATTGCATGAGTGTCTGTGGAAGATGAAATAACAGTACTCCATGTACATAAGTGATCTTCCATGGTTCGCTATGGAATATGTCAAATGCATTGGTGTTGTGTAATGCAGTTATAGAGTAGATACATGAAATAGCAGCATTAGGTTGGAAAATAAAGTGTCTGAGGAGGGATAAATATGTGTGTTCTTGCACACACGTGTTGAATTTCTTGGTCATATTGTGGGTAGAGGAGAAAGCTCCATGGATCCTGCTAAAATAGCAGAGGTGTGAGAGTGGTCTCAACTTGCTGTGAAATGGGAAGTCTTGTTGGTTTTGTATCATATTACTGATATTTTGTGGCCAGCCTCTCTAAGAACACCTCAAGTGTGTCAGTTCTTACTAAGGCAAAGATACACTTTGGATAGTGAAGAATACAAACTAGCATTCTAGTCCTAGAAGTGTGCTTTAATAGAATCCTCTAGTTTTGGTTTATCCACAATAGGATTGTGAATTCCTATTAGACATTGATGACAGTGAGAGTGGAATCTAAGTAAAACACTTTCAGCATTATTTGTATGGTAGACAGTATACTGTTTAAGTGGACAATGCATCATTGGAGTGATTGGTGAACTTCAAAAATCCCAAAGGGATGATGGCATGCTAGACAACAGGAGTATGATTAAATTTTATATTCTGACCAAACTTGCAATATGGAAACACAGAAAAGGTGTCTCATCAAATGGTGAGACCTGATTCATTTGTTGAATATCTTGTTCTTGGACACTATATGGGGGTTGAGACTATTTCTACTATAATGGCAACAAACCATACAGTAAGAGACAACATTAGTTGGTGCATGTCACAGTTAGTGCTTCAGGAGTTTTAGGAAGAGTAACTGGACTCTGGTCTGGAGTGGTCACTCCTTTCCATGCAGCAAGGTAAAAAAGTGACTGCCTTAGACTGAGGAATATATCATAGATGCACATAACCTTTGGCTTTTGTACAAGCAGTTATGTGTGCTGTACCATTGTTACCAAACCCTGAGCAGTGATTCTCGGCCTGTGTCACAGCTAATAGTCTCGGAGTTTTAAGGCACAAGATTCTCCGGTCTTTGCATAACATAAAGACTAGAGAGCATCAAGGTGTTACATGTACTTGTGCTAATGTTCAACAGCAGTTCCTGTGGGCACACTTGAGTCAAGACATTTAGTGTTGGTATAAACAATATACAGTGTGTGCCACCTGAAGAAAAGGCTGACCTAAAAGGGGTAAATAGCAAAGAATTGTTGGACATCACCACTCCACTCCCATATACAAAAGGGGCCATCTCTATATACTCATGGTCAGCAACTACTTTGTGGAGTGAGCCAAGGCCTATCCATTGGTCAATATGTCTGCACAGTTCGTAGATGATGCACTGGATAATGAGGTTCAGACCACTTGAACATATCCATGTGGATGAAGGGACTAACTGTAACAGCCAACTTCACCTTTTTTTACCATCCCCAGTCTGGTGGATTAGCAGATAGGGAGATATAGACCATCTGGAAGCTTGCTAAGTTTGTTAACCCTGACTGAATCAACTGCATACTGTGCACCTGAACAGAGATCAACAGGTTGTTTGCCAAATATGCTAACATTTAGTCAAGAAGTCTTACTCCTTGTAGACATGATGTATGCCACCACCCAGAATAGGTGTCCAACAGTGTTCACATGAACTGGTTATGGTCTGCATTAGTATATTTCATGAGTTTGCATGTCGACAACTTGGAAAGGCCATCATACAATAAAAGAGTTGCTATGATAAGTCAGTGGAAATATAGATGTATCAAAGTGGAGACTGAGTGTGGCTTTGGTATGAGTTAGCAGTCTAGAAGTCTTTTGGCACCAATTATGCCAGATCCAATTTTGTGAGCTGGTTAGCTCTATTAATGTATAAGGTACAAAAAGCGAGGGGTGCATGCAAGACTTGGTACATATTGATCAACTGCATCTGAGTAAGACAAACGAATCTCTGATGAACTTGTTTGATTATGTCAGAAGAGGAGGTAATTGAGTTGAATGAAGATAAAGCAAATAGTTGAATGAAAGTGGTGATCCTTGCTTTCCAATTGATCAAATGATTTTTATTTTGCAGTATATATACTACATTGTGTGATTTCTACTTGATTAGCAAATAGCTAGGACAGTTGTTGCTTGTAGATGTGGAGATAATAACTTGGAGTTCAAAATCTCAGCTGAAAGGGTGTTGCAACCCTTGCTTTCTAAGCTATTGGGTGATATTGTAAAGTGTGATATATGCTCTACATCGTATTGATTACGGCTCAGTCATCTGAAGTTAAAACAGTTTGTTGATTGCAAGATTAGGGATAGTTGCTTGATTAACACAGTTTAGGATAGCTGTTGCCAGTAGATATAATACCTAATATGTGGACAGTTTGCACAACAGAAGTTGGTGGGTAAGAGTTTGAAAACATAGTCAAAGGGTATGCTGCTGTAGCACTATGGTGGATTCAGTTGAACGATGGAAATATTATGTTGTTTTTTTAGCAATTTAGTGCATACTGGAGGGAGTTAGACATTTTGATAATAAAGTTTGAAAAATAAAGATCCTTACTCCCCAGATAGTAATAAAAAAATATTTATTTCAGTGACAGTGAAATGTTGGCCACAAGAGTTACCCCAGCAAAAGGAAAGGATCAAACTACTGATGACACCTCCGCCACCATAGTCCCAACAGTGATGGAAATACCAATTATAAAGCAGCACTACCAGGAAATGGCCCCCAAATGATGGGACCATGGGAAGAGGATTGACTCTGACAGTGCTCCACACCACCTTCCCATTTGTCTGCCAATTATTGACAACTCTAGATCAGACCAGATGGCATTAACCTAGGCTAAAGCGGTAATCCAGAGCATGCCACTGGTCAATCAAAAATACAGCAGTTTTGAAAGATCTGTTGTCAAGGCTCAGTTACGGGTGAGGGAAGTTGAAACTTATGCTAAATGCTAAGGTAAGTTTATATATGGAATATTTCTTTGTTAATTTATTCAACAAAAGGATATGTAATAATAGGTCAACTACAGTATATCTGCTATATCTATTGCTGACAAGATCTTTTGTTCAATACCAGGGCTCATCAGGCTGGCTGGTATATGACTAACTTAGCAGCGGTTTAGGCTCTATTTATATCATCAGTTCCATGGACAACAACAGTAATGGTATGAACTTGATAAAGTAAGTGAAGTGTAATTTTTATCAGTTCCTGTAATAAATCCCCAATAAAACTTTTTCCTTTGTAGATTTCAAAAGTAGATAATACCTATTACTGCCTAAGGAGAACATTCCTTAATGTGACACACTGTGTAAGGATGTTGACAGCAGTGCCTTTCAGTGGTATGGTCCCACCTATGGTATGATGAAAGTGACTAGTCACATGGGTAGTGTGTGTGTCACATGCGAGATTTTTTACAAACTAAGGAACCTTAGATTTTGTTAGTCTGAAACTTTTTCTTCTTTTATATAGTCTGATACAAGATTTCAACTGAGTAATCTGAAGAAAGTCAGTAAGTGCAATGGTCTTATGTAATTAAAACATCAAAGCTGTTACATACACTGGGTTTACTTTCATTACATAATAAAGGCTTTTAATTTTTGGCTTCACTTTGTATCCAGTCTGTACTTCATTTAACATCAGTACAGTCAGTAACACTTTTAAGATTACAGTTAATTCAGTTTTAATTGGATATACAACAAAGGTTAACTCAGTTTTACCTAAATATACCACATGCTCCTCTTTTTTGAAGAGAAAATAAGTTTATTGATCTTACTTTTCTAAAATGGTGATTGGCTTTTGGAATATCTTGCTTTCAGATGTGGTGGATGCAATAAATTAAAGTAAATTTAAAGGAAGACTCAATAAAGAGTCAAATTATCAGAGCTATATCTGAAGGTTTTTTATAAATTTTCAGTATATGAGTCATCTTCAATGAACCTTGTTATCCTTAAATTTTAAATTATAAAATTTACTAATTTAGTAGTTATACCTCTGTCAACATCATTTGTGTAAATAGGAAAAAGCAAATGCCAAAGGTCCAGATTGACTAAATTTGATACTAACCTTTTGCTTCTTTTAAAGTGGATTTAGGCAGTTTGTTTATCATTTGGACTGAGTTTACTGTAGAATATCTTAATAATTCCACTTTTGATTGAGTGTAGATGACTGGAATTGGTTCTGTAATCTCAATACCGAAAGGTGTGTGTGTTGGTTTTCTGTAAACTTCATTGCAATGTATTAAGATGTTTAAAAACATCAGTCAACAGTGTAACTCAATCTTGACTGTATACTACTGAATCTTTTTATTCTTGGAGTTTAGATTTTGGAAAAAATTATCAATGGTGGTGTTTTTGTGTGGTCACGTGACAAGGGTATCCATGACTGTGGCTTCAATTTTGCTGGTTCTATTGCATTTGATTCACATTCAGACATGAAGAGGATGCTGATGACTGTTAAAAGAGGTAGCTCATTGCTAGGCCACTAGTCTGTTCATAGATGCAGTCTTTAACTTGAAAATACATAGCATTAAAGCAGTAGGAAACAACAGTTAGTTTGCAGTTTTAAACAAGCCTATTTATAATTTTTACCTGATGACATCAAGCAAACCAAGAACTGGTGTGTTAGGAAACATTGATAATATCAAAATTGGCAAAACATCTTCCATTTGAATAGAAATATCTGTAAGTTCTGATATAAAAGTCGTGGAGCTTGTCACTTCAAAGCTGCTTGAGGAGGAGTTATTATAGGTAAAAGTAACATTTGTATTTGTTGAAAAAAAAGTGTATTCTGAAAGTGATCTAATACAGATAATTCATTAAAATAGTAAAAAACAAATAGCCTTTCTAAAAATTGGTCTTAATTCATTAAAAATTTTATTTTTCAATGATTTTGTTTTATTTGGAGAATATAACTGTAGACAAACTTAACCTACAAGTACAAAAAAATAGGAAATATAACATTGAAATTATCCTTTCAGAAGTTTATTTAAGATTTAATTTTTTGATGGAAGTATATGGCAGAATTTATAACAGTTGTTAGTGTTCTTTTACTTACAGAATATAATGGGTAATAATTATTTAAATATATGTGGATAAATACGATCTCAGAAACGTTGCTTACCTCTCTGCATCACTAAAAGCTATTATCTTCAACACAACTGCCATAAAAAAGGAGGAAAAAAAATATCCATATAATATGTGGAACTCAACATTATATTTGTTATGTTTGATGTCCTCAAATTCCACCGAGTGGCTAGTGTTTCCTCACAGAGAATACTTACCCAAAATCTGCATAAACCAGAGGAGTGTGAAAGTGTTAAACTCATCCACCCCTTCTCATTGTCCACTGTTGGGATGTGGTTTTCTGCAAGATTGCTTTGCTAGTAAATCTTTATAAGTGACATGGTAATTTCCATAACTTTTTCAAACAAAACAAAAATATTGCAGCATCAGGTGTAGTCCTGCCCTTACACCTAGCTTGCACTTTTGTCATATTAACCCATTGCACTCTCACATGATAAAGACCAAATTCCAGGTGATTGTCAGTGATGATAGTGGTCCACTCTCCAGTGTTCTACCCAATGCATATTCCTCCCTCCTTTTTTTTAGTGGATCATGAGAGAACCATTTCTGCCTCAGTCCCAAACCACTGGGGAAGTCAGTAGGGAGAGTTTCCTCTGTGAATGGTGCTTTTCCCTTGGTAAGAGACCAGTTGGGCCCAACCCTTGTTTGAGATGTAGGGCTGGGTTGTTATTGCAGTACAGGACACCCCATTACAATATCTACCAAGCAATTCCCGATTGATATGTCTAGCCAAATATGACATTCATTTGCCTTGGGAAGCAGATGAGGGTTCTTCCTCAATCCATCTGTTATTATAGTATCTTATGTAAGTATTTGAGTAAGATAGAATGGCCTAAAACCCTAACCACAATACACATTCTAACATTTTACCCACTTTGGCAACAAGTAAAAATCAGCACTGGATTTTCCCAATGTCCTTTGCACTACTGTCACAGTAATATAAAAATTATGAAACCTTTGGGCAAGTGTTTACCCTGCTTGAGACAGTTGCAATCTCCCAGCAGATGCTACTCCATTAGACCAGTGTTTCTTAGCCTTTTACAATGTTATTCACCCATATAAGTTTTTCACAACAGCTCACTCACCCCAGTTCAGAAAAAGACAAAAAGGTATTAAATTAAAATGTAAAATTCTTTATTATGACTTAAATATACATCAAACTACAACTAGAATAAATAATAATAACTAATGACTTTTTTGCTCTAGAATTTATTGTATAATTGATAAAACTCATTCACCCCATTATTCTCATTCACCTTGATTCTGATCTCCTTAACCCTTGGGTGAGCCAATTCACCCAGTTGAGAAGCACTGCACTAGATGAACTCAAGTTTCATGAAAGTCACACCCCATGGGCTTTCCTTTCTTTCACCATTTCAGAAAGGCGCACATATTTTTAATTGATCAGTACTGACCCCTCCGTCATCTTCATTGTGGGATACTAGCTCTTAGTGGTGCAGAGAAGTAAGTAACATTTCAGAAGTTAACATTTTCCTTTCCTCAAAATGTATTTTGAATACATACTTACCTCTCTCCACCACCTCCCACCTTTCCTCCTCATTTCCAATGTAATTTGTTTGCCTCATTAAGAATTAGCCTATATTCGTGTGCTAGTTCTCACAGAGATTATTGTGTATGGAGGCTGTATTGCCCTCCTGTTGGTGGAATGTACAACATTATGATGATTATGTTTATAGGCTATAACCCAAGCGCTTTCAAAAGGTGGACTCTTTTTCTTCAGGGGCAAGACTTATTCAACCTATGTGTTTTTCTGACATCATGTATGTTTATAGGCTGACACAATACAATTCACGCAGACATGAGTAGGGGTGGAAGTTTGTTCAAGGCTTGTGCATGAAATTCCATGGCAGTTGCTAGTGAGGTAATACCTCTTAATTGTGCACAGAGGTAAGTATTTATCTGAAATACATTTTCAGATAAGGAAAATGTTAACACTCCATGACAGCTCTACTCCAAACATATTTCCACCACAACCAGAAGTGTGAAAATTGGCAGATCTCTTTTTTTTTTTCAGCTTGAACAATCCAGACAGCTAAGCTATGCACTTAGAATGATATCTTGTACAATAAAGTAAAAACATTGCTTCATTAGTTTATTTTTGGTAAATAAGATCCCTTGGACTCCTCCTCCTTCTTACTTCCCTAAAAGTTGACTTTGCCTAGTGGCTTGAAAGAGACAACACTTCAGCTGGTGTTCCTCTGCCTCCTCCCCATCTTGATTTGCACCTTTTTACAAATGCTTCTCTTACAGAGTGAGCATATGTAGATCCTCTGGATATCTCTGGTCATTAGGCGGTGGTCATACCTTCCCCCCACATCAACTGTTTGGAACATCTTGCAGTTCGTTGGGCCTTGGATTATTTCCTATCTTTAGTAAGGGGCAATCTGGTCATGGTCCATTCTGACAATTCAACTGTTGTCTCTTTCATCAATTGACAAGGGGGGGGGGCCTGTTCCCATTCACTATGCTTTTGAATATTGGATCTCCTTTTCTGGACCCAGTCTCAGCAAGTTTGTCTTCTTGCTTTTCATGTCCAAGGAGCTCTGAATCTTGTAGTGGAGCTGTTATCTCATCCCACCAAGATTCTACCTATGGTCTAACTTCTAGAACAATTATTGTGCTAATTTAACAGGGTAATAAAAGTGTTCCAGGAGGTTCCCCTTGGTCTATTTTTTTAGAATGGTTATTGTGCTGGTTGAACAGGGTTTCATAATATCATACAGTACTTAAAAGAAATAATTTCATTTGTAATACAAAAGAATAAGTAGTTAAGTTTCTTAGAACAGTTATTTCAAACTTAAAAAATCATGCAAAAAAACGTTTTAAGTAAGTAAATTGGGGTTGATTAAATTCTATCTTGTACTGTGATTCTGTGATACTTCTGCTTTGTAGAACTGCAGTAAACTAAAAAATTATGAGAGGATAACAAAAGGTTATCCAGATTTAAGTAACAAAACCTTTTCTTTCAAGATTCAGATAATTTGAAACTCAATCTGCTAATGTTACACTTTTAGACTTGAGAAGATCATTTACAAGAGTGAATAAAACAATTTCTGCTTGACATAAGATATACTATGTATGATAACTAGGGGTGTGGCAATACAATGATATGATATGATTGTATCGACACATCGTCCAATTTACGTATCTTCATGAAATTTGGCAAGCTTTCAGTAAACATTACATGTCTTTTATACAGAAAATATCAGAATTTTTAATAAAGTATTTTTGCTAAACATTCATGTTTTAATATATGGAGTCAAAGTAGTCACTACTCCGAGTGTAAAGTGATTTTCATGTTAAGATTTAATATACTTTTCTCTGTATAGAAATTAACAAATTTCGTTTGTGTAACCTCTAAAACATCCGAAGTAAATTTCTAACTATTTTTGATAAATCTTCATATTTTTATTTTCTATATTCACTACTATAATTTTATGTAAAGTCAGTCAGTTTGACCAGCCTTGTAACCACCATAAAAAATACTGAATAAATCAAATCTATTTTTTTTTCTTTGTAGAATTACTTCAAATTGCAGCAGGAAACTATATTTGCTTACATGAAATAACTTAACATTCTTAACATTATACATCTGTTTCTAATTAAGTTTTATTGTCAAGACTGTCAAACTTTATAACAAACCATTGTTCTGTATCAACTAGTATTATATCGTATCAGCCCTAATAATAACTTGGTATGGCTTATAGTCACAAACTCATTTCCATCCACTCATCACGATAAAAAATTAGAAACTATTAGATGCCAATTCTATGATGATGAAATGAAATATACATTCAAATCTTATCATGAAGCTTCACTGACCACAGGCTAGTCTGTCATCCCCTTATTGGAATGCTTTTATTTCAGTATTGCTTGCAGTGGGAGCAGCAAAGCATTATGTTTTGAGACACACGTTGCCAAAAGTGCACGAAGCTTGTGCTCCATTTGATGGTGGGATCTGTGAATCTAAATCATGTTTCCTTTTCTTGGAAATAGTTGTTTCTTTAGAATTTTTTTAGTTGGTCATTCCCCTCTTACATGTTTGTGACCACCAACCCTTGCAATTCTGCATGCAACTACAGTGGGCTGAACACAAACTGAGATGGAAAGAATTCATTGTTGAATAAGGAATTTGGAAAACATACATCAGAAAATTGCAAGTAACAGTACAGGCATTGAACTAACCACCTGTACATTCATTTTGAAAAAACATCATTAAGAGATTGAACATAGAGAGAAGTAATACCTGTGGATGTCTTTGGTGGTTTAGATCTTCACAGATGTTGGATTTTCATGTTTCTGACTTACTTCTGTTCTACCTTACATATTTTAATAACTTCATCATAGTAAGAATCTGATTTGAAAGCAGGACTGATCATATGAAAACCTTATTCCCAGTTATCACAGAGAAGCAGATGTTATTTTGATAGATAACTGCCAAGAAGAAAGGAGTGCATTGGTACATTTATTCAGAAACACAAGATCTATGCTATACCAATTTCATATAAAGTGGACAATGTCACAATGGCTGTAGATTGAAGATAACAGAGCTGCCACAGGAGATCAATCCATACCCAAGAACATGTTTAAGGCCATGTTTTATACCAAAAGTTTGATGTTTGTCAGCAAAACATCTGCCATCATTTTCTCTTATGATCTGTATCTATTATGTCTTTAAAGATGTTATAAAATCTGAAATGAGAAATAATATGATTTTATAACAATTTATTTATTTCTGACTTGAAATTAAAATATGTTTACTGTAGCAAAGCTGAATTGCTACAGTGGTTGATATTAATTCTATGAAATAATTCAATTAGAATGAGTATTTTTTTATCCTAGCATCTCTTTTGTCTTTTTTTTTAAAGAAAATGCTGAATTTACACGAATAATTTTTTGGAAAATTTCTATATACATTACTTCTATAGACATTGCTTGTTTTGAAGCTGTGTGAGCCACTCATACAAAATATACACAATTTATGACTGTCAGATGACATCATTGAAATTTTTTTATAACAACAATGGTAAGTTTTTAAAGAAAACCTAAGCATACATGAGCATGTGTGCATATATCATGTGAATTCTGAAAATATATTAAGTTTGTAACCTTACTCACTACAGTTTTATTGTGAACTTAATTAATGAATGGCTGTCTTTTGTTTGTCATTTCCTGCATAACATTTGGATAATATATATACAACTTCATAATATAAGTAAGCATCTATTAATTTTTTTTCTTTCTGCAGATAACTGAAGTAACATATGAGAAGACAGAACTGGACAGGAAGTCCTGGGGTTAAGCAGACAATAAATGATGGATGGAACAAAATGCCTGATTGCCTCCAACTTTGGTACAAATTCCAAGGGCACTTAGCAAAAAGACTTACTATTGCTAACCGAACAGAAGGTTTCACAGAGCTTTACGAGAGCAAAGCCACTACCCGTGGCAGAAAGTACATGCCACTGGCAGTTGACAAATTTGAAGAGAAGTATAGGTCTGCAGAAGAATTATGGTCCATGTGAAGTTCTACCCATAAAACTTTTGTTTTCCAGTGTATTGAATTTATCAATAAAGAGGAAGATTATTCCTGACTTCAAGTAATATGTTCCATGTTTGTAGAACCTTGCAATAACACATCTTTGGTAAAATTTCTTCTATGCTGAATTTATAGGCCTATTAGTCTTACATCAGTGGTGAACAGTTTTTGAAAAGTCTGATAAAAGATGCCTAACAAAATAATTTAACATTTTAAAAAGCTTAAAATTTTGTTTCTATAGTTAACATGGTTTCACTAGGGATTATCTTCCCATACTAATCTTTCGGCATTATTTGAAGAGGTTGCTGCTTATACTGATGAAGGTAAAGATGTGGATTTGGTATGTCTGCATTTTAAGAAACCATTTGACAAAGTGCCACATAAAAAGCTTGTTAAGAATTATCTCTTGGGTGTAAGGGCCAAGTTGGCTCATTGGATCAAAAGAAAGTACAAGGTTATTACAAATGGAGTTCACCCAAACTGGATTGATGTCACAAGGGGGTACCTCAAGGCACAGTGTTGAGCCCTTTGCCCTTTTTGACATACATCAGTGACATAGATACTGAAATGATCAATGAATTGCTTAAAATTACTGATAATATTTAGATCTTGGATGTTGCTGGTTGTGAGGAAAATGCCACTACTTTAAAAAAGAATTTAGAACATTTGGAGAGTTGGGTGAAAATCTGGCAGATGGCTTTTATTTATAACTAGCTGAGTTACCCG